CTGGCTTCCTTCTATATCCTCTTCCTAGTCCGCTTCTGTGGCTAGAAGGATGGAAGGTAATAAAGGAGAATAGAAGTGTAGGGAGAGGACACACACTGTGTGAAGTTGGATTGAGTAGGAGAAATGAAGTGGAGAAAGAGAAAGGCAATACTTTCTGGTCTGCTTCTGACACTCACCAGGAATGCAATCATGGGAAATCATTTCACTTATTTGGGCCATCTATGAAGTTTGGTTGAGGATCCCTGGAGAATTTGTGGTTGAGAGCCTCTGCCTTGCTGAGATTTATAATTATAATAGTATTTTTAGGTCTCTGTGGAACAATGTTATTAAAAGAGAAGTTTTAGTGCCAAAATTTCCAAATCTATACATAGTGCATTTATAATATGCATTTCCATAAACTTTCTGAAGACCCCTACACTGACTTGGATTCAAATGGTGCAATATTTTTGCATCAAAATAGATAAATCTTCTAATTCCATTTGCATGAACTTTTTGAAGTACTCTCATATCTACAAAGCTCAGCAGAAAAGAGACTGCTGAATCACCAAATCTCTAAGGATCGCAGACCCCTCCTACTTTTTTCCTGGGATCAGATTTGATGTCTCAGACCTTTCCTTCACTCACATCTAATTATTCTAGAGATTGAAGAACCTAGACTATTGGATTTCTGTAACATTTTGATTAAATGGATCAACACAATTCTTCCTTTAGGGTGAGAGAATGGAGTTAGGCAGGGGAAAGCAGTTTGATTATTTTAAATCACTCCTTTGATCATCACACACCAATGAGATTTACTCTCAAATCTTTGTTTGGGAAATGTTAGACTGGATCCAGGCTTCAGTAGGAAGGGAGTCAATGGTTCCCATACTTATGTTCATTCACTTGGGTTTCTTTCTGTAAAAGAGGAGAGCTTCCCAGAAATAGTCATTTTTCTTGATTGTTGCTAGGAAATAAACTCAGACACCATAGAATTTAATACAGATCAGGGAATGGAGAAAAATAGATGATACTCAACCTGATTTCCATTAGATGGAAAACTCTGACCCAAAATAATTGAATTAAGGGTAGCTCTCTTGCCACTTTAATAAAGTGAACAAGCATTAAAAGCTAATGTCAACTTCTTTTAGGATTTTGGCAGGCTCTGGCCAGCCAGACGAAACAAGAAAAAAAAAGCCTTTATATCATGATGATGGGGACCCAGTGACACCAAATGCAGGGCAGGCCCCTGGAGAAGTATGGCAATGGACTCTTTTCTAACACAGGCTCAGACTGTACTGCATCTCAAGTATAGTTTGTCTGCTGGGAATGTGCTTACTTCAGTAGGTTAACAAGAAAAGGAACCACTGGACCTTCAGGTTCTTTTGGTAGAAGAAACGAAAATGCAACTAGAAATGAAGGAGTTGAGTTCTCCATTACCCAAGGGACTGAAGTCCACACTCCCTGTCTTCCCTTTGCCCACTCTAAAACTGAAAGTAATGAGCTTCAGCTAGAACTTAAAGTTCTGTTCATAGACTCAGAACCTAAACCTAGAATACAGCCCACTGGGCAGAGAAAGAATCTAAAGGAGATAATAATCAGAGTTCCCTCAAAGAAGGGTTTGGAGCTTGAGAGCAAGAGACTTAAGAGAAGGGGGTGATGAATCCCAAGTACAGAAGCTCAGGTTGGAGTAGGAGGAAAAGTACTCGGGGCATTCCCCCACCCACCCCCAAAAAGCCTCAGTCTCTAGGTTACTTTCTTTTTGAAGCTCAAAGCATAACGTAGTAGACAATGTTACTCAATAGAAACCAAACACAAGGTGAGAAGTACAATACTTTCTCAGGAAGTTCTGGCAGAATGACCATGTACATTGCACACAAGTGTGTTTAAGGAGAGTGGGAGGAAGATATTGAGAGGAAGCCTGATGGTAGGGGACTCTGGTAGGCTGGATAAAGCTTGCAAAAGATCTACAGGTCCTAGTCTCTTGAAGCTGTGAAATACTGTAAATGGCAAAAGGGACTTTGCAGATGTGATCAGATAAGAGACTCGAGATGGGGAGTTTATTTGTGATTCACTGGTGGGCACTAAATATAATCACGAATGCCCTTATATGAGCAAAGCAAAGGGAGACTCAACTACAAACGATTAGGCAGCAATGTGACTGTGGAAACAGAGATAAGAGTGATGTGGCCACCAATTTAGGAATGCTGGCAGCCACCAGAAGGTGGAAAGGGCAAGAAAATGGGTTCTTCCCTAAAACCTCAAGAAGAGCCAGCAGGGCTGGTCCTTGGACTTTAGCCCTGTGAAATTGATTCTGCACTTCTGATCTCCAGAATCATGAGAGAATAAATGTGCATTGTTTTAATCCACACAAATTCCCAAGTTTATGGTCATTTGTTATAGCACTTACAGAGAACCAGTATAGGAACCACGTGAATAAGGAAGAGAGAGAGCATTCTAATTTATTAGCTGCCTTGAATAGGAAAACTTAGGCAAGAGATTCAACAGGTATGTAGACTACTTGAAGAGGATTTAGAAGACAGTGAAGGAGGTACTACTACAAGAACTGCCTCAAAGTGTGTAAGAGGTATTCAAAGAATTAAAATAGGTGTTGCTTTTTTAATTTACTTTTGCTATGTTTTGATAAAGAAACGTCCCCATTTTATCATGTTCTCAAAAGACTAGGAAAAATACACTCTGCAATGAACGTTTATTTCTGATTAACTGTCATTTCCTTGTAATCAGAGTGAACTCAGAGGTACCTGGAGCTTTTATTGGGAATGATAAAGGAATTTATGTGACATTTTGGACTTCCACTGGGGCAATCGGCCCCAGGAGGCCATTTTCACCATGGCTCCAAATTACTGGAATGGTGATGGGAGAGGCTACCACCTTCGTTAGACATAAGTTGTCATCCTTTTGGATTACATCCATAAAGCTAAAAGAGTGGAATAGAAAGAGAACACATTAAGAAGAAACCACATTTTAGGATTCAGTATTTTTGTTGAAGAACTACACTTAGATGCCATTTTTCTGTTTGTTATTCTATTTGTTAAATTCTCTTCCATGCCAAACTAGATATTCGTTTTTAAACTCTGCATCTTGGATAGTGCCCTCTTCAGAAAGGAGCTCAGATGTCCATAGCTTAGTTGAAGCCTTTGCCCAACTCTACTCTCAGAGACCAGATTCTTGTGAACTTCCCAGATCACAGCCTGCAACTTCTGGGGAATGAAAAACATTCATGGGAAGCACTATGCCAAGGAGACGAAGGGAGAAAAGATAGGTTTTAGTCATGGTTAAAGCATGTCCCTTGAAATAATGTAAGCATGGAAAGATTTGGAAAGACCGAAAAAATAAGAGTCCACAAGGGTTGTTGTTAGGACTTATTTATAGGTTGGGCCACAGACCATCTCACTGCCTTAGAACATATGGCAAAGTTGTGAATAGTTTAAATTCATATGCTAAATTCATAAGCATTCATCAACAAGCTAGAAAGAAATAAAACATGGCATAGAGTGAAAGACATACAAACGTAAATGTCTTTTGGTAAGAAAGACAGCAAATGCACAATGTTCTTCATCTTCCTAAACACAGACCTCTGCAGAGGGGATTAAATGTTGCTACAGAAGCGTTTATTCTCCTGGAAGATAGGTTTCATACTGGAGGACTGAACATATAAATTAGTGTCGAAACAGGTGATCAATATTCCCCCTACATATTTGGAGCCTATCAGCTCCTCTCCTTTAGTTCTTTATGTAGCATAAAATACAATTTTTTAAAAGTTTTATTTATGTACCTGAAAGTAAGAGTTACACAGAGAGAGAAGGAGAAGCAGAGGGAGAGAGAGAGAGGTCTTCCATCTGCTAGTTCACTCCCCAATTGGCCACAATGGCTGGAGCTGTGCTGATCCAAAGTCAGGAGCCAGGTGCTTCTTCCATGTCTCCCACATGGGTGCAGGGGCCCAAGGACTTGGGCCATCCTCTACTGTTTCCCCAGGCCATAGCAGAGAGCTGGATCAGAAGTGGAGCAGCTGGGACTTGAACCGTGCCCATAAGGGATGCTGGCATTGCAGGCAGTAGCTTTATCCACTTCACCACAGCACCAGCCCCATAAAATACAATATTATGATCTATAGTAGACCTAGTTTGTATTATGTTAAAATATTACACTGTATGCCAAAAAGATGTGCAAGTATTACATATTAATCAACATTTAAAAAATAAATACTTGCCCCAAACACATGAGATTCATACAGTAAAAAAATTTATATATAATGAAAATTATATATAGAGAGAGAGAATATGAGTCAGTTTTCTCGTTATCAGAAGGACAAATAAAAGAAAGGATATATCTAGAATCAATCATGTAACATTGCATGAATATTAATGGCATGAGTGCAAACTCATGGATTTATAAATTAGATAGATGGATATATATATATATTCACACATACATTTGTATACACATATACATAAATATGCATATTTTTCATCTATGTTTATATTTACAGCTGTATCTAATCCAGCTGGATAAACACATGGTCCCAGCTCTGTCCACTGACAGTGCCTGGGAGCAAGGAAATCTCAATATAAGAGAACATAACTCAGGACTAGATGTTGGCTTCTAAGAGCATTTTCCACTCAAAGAGCCCAGAGCTCCCTGGGCAGCTTGATTCCTGTACTGAGATGGGAAAAACTCAAGCTGAAGCTGGAATATTTGTTCTGCCAGACAGCAAGGAAATGCTGAAAGAATGATGAAGACATGACAGAAGGAAACATGACCCAGACTGAATGGGCCCCCACTGGCCAGGGTTGGGATCATGTTAGCATTAAAACAGAAAAATAATAGTGATAATGTTTTATTCTATGTTTAAGATAGGACACCATGATGCCACACAGATATAAATGAACAACTGAATATAATAAATTTTCATGAGGAACAGAAGAATTCCAAAGCCTCAAAGTCCTTTCCCTCAAAATCTTTATTAACTCTGCACCAGGGAAGCTTGAGAGACACCACCTTAGTCAAGTGATTTCAAAGAATATGAAGAGTAGTGTAACAAGTCAAAATTATGAGCTACCCTAGGACACAACCAAAAGAGTACAACACTACTTTGTGCTATTTCTGCCAAAGATGAATAATGTGATTTATTCATGAAGAAAGCAAAGACTCAAACAGGTGATATTCTACAAAATAACTATTTGTAATGTTCAAAACTACCAAGGCCATGAAGACTATTTTTTTTATTTTTTAAGGATTTATTTATTTTATGTGACACAGTTACAGATAGAGGGAGGAGGTACAGAGAAGGAGAAAAAGAGATTTTTCCATCTGCCGGTCCATTTCCCAAATGGTCACAATGGCTGGGGACAGACCAGGCCAAAGCCAGGAGCCTGGAACTCCATCGGGGTGAAGGCCATGAGTTTAAACTGAGGAACTGTCCAGACTTAAGGACACTAGAGACATAGCGACTAAATGCTAAGGGAGATTCTGAAGTGACTCTTTGGCAACAAAAGACATAGTGGAGACAATCTGTAAGTCTCGAATGCCATCTGAGGGTTAGAGGTAGCAATGTGTCAACATCGATCTTCTGGTGTTGATGACTGTATAGTAGTTACAGAGGACAGTGTACACGCAAGTACTTTTCCGAGGTGATAGGACATTTAGTCAGAAACAGGAAAAGCATAGTCCTTTGGCTATGCTTCCAACTGTTTTAGAAGTTTGTGGTTACTTCAAAATGAAAAAGTAACTGGTTTAACCCATGTAACTCTCATCGAGAACAAAGTCAAATTCGCAAGTGCTGGCTAAGGTAATCCGCTCCCTGCCCCAAGAAAACACTGTGAGGTACTTTCAGTTGCTGAATATCAGACGTTTATTCTTTAACTTCCTACTGTTGCTAAAATCTACTCCGTAAGTGGCTGCTCTGACAAACAGTTTCCATTTCACAGAAATTCTGTTCTGTAATAATTCACTTGGAAATGTCCAGTGCTGGGGATGAGAATGCCTCAAGGCATAGCGTGGGATCATGAGATCCTAGGGGCCACCACGGAGGTCGTTCTCCCCATCCCCCAGCTGCCACGCAACAAGCTGCAAGTAACACAGGGGCCATCTCTGCAAGGCCATCCAGGTTGAACAGAGAACATCACACTTGATTCAAATTACACATTCAGTACTATACTGTACACATCTAGCATTACACATGCTTAAAATAATGTAAGTATGTATAATGACATATCGGGTCTCACTTTGAAAGTAAACTATTAGCAGGCAAGTACATATTTGAAAACTCCTAAATAACACCATTTTATCTAAAGTTTACAGTGTTGCTGCACACCCATGGGCTGCTGCAGAAGCCCTGGGCATGCAGAAAGTGGCAGAGAGAATAATCACATGTTAACATGGATGTAGGAAGCCAAATCTGATTCTAAAGATGCCCCTGCCAAACCAGAGCCAGGCTCCAGGCTGAAGGGGGTCCTATGGGAGGGAATTATGCTTTCACAAAGGCAGACAGATGCACTCTGATTCCCGGGGTAACTGCGGCCTCGGGGTCGGGGAGGGCGGAGGAGCTGGCTGCCCCTTGCTCAGGGGTGTCTGTCAGACCTCGAATTCCACCCTGGTCTGCAGGGCTGTGTTGGGCTGAATGAGATCCTTTGGACCTGGTAGGCCCAGAGGCACCGCAGCTATAGTTTGGCAGTAACCTCCAGTTCTTGCAGCTTTCAGACTAAATGGATAATTCGGTCTGCCCCCAGGAGAATGCTTGCCAATTATAGATGTTTTTATTTGTTTGTGATTTTAATATGATCTATAAAAATAGCAAACTTTGTAACTAATAGCACCATGAACACATGCATCATGGTAGAAAACAAGATAATAAAATGAATTGTTTTTGACTCAGAGCAATGTTCCCTGCCACTAACGTCAACAAAGTAAATCATTTTAACTGAATTTGGGGGAAATTAGATAACTTTTTGGAGCAAAAATATCCTTATAGGGAGAATATAACCAAATTAGATCATGTATAAATAGATGTATACATATACAGGGGCAGTTTTAAAAGGTATGGCAAGTGGAAGTAAAAGATGTGTTTATTTTGGTTGAAAACCAAATGTTGAAACCCATGCAAATGAGTTGCTCTTCAAAAAGTTCATGAAAAATGCACTCGAGGAAAATACCACGCATGGGTGTAACAAAATGTTTTAACAAAATAAACTTTTCTTTTTTTTCCACAAATTTTTGATGTATCCTAATATACATACATATACACTTCTATTGCACATCAAAGTGAAAAAGTGTAGGTATTTATAGCTCCCTATTCATAGTGACTGCAGGCTTTCAAGTAGTTGGGTAAAACTATTTACAGAAAGAAAATCAGGGGCAAAAGAAGGCATCTAACTCTTACTGATGGGTCAACTGGGTTTCAAAAATCGGGAGACAGTACTGTAGGTATTAATGTATTAGGACAGTAGAGCCTATGTGAACACCTGAGAGATAAGATAGCTACAGTTTTGAAACATCTCTTCCTATTGCCTGATTTTTAAAAGGAATGCCAAACCCCATAGAAAGAAGAGGGTCTGTTAGTGAAGTGAGTGAAGTGCAGACAGATGCTGGCTCTTGGCTGTCCATTTTCTTTGCAGATTAAGTTCATTTTTGGCATCTTTAAAGAAAAAAAAAAGACACTTGTTTTACTGGGTGGTGCATTGCTAGGAGTGGGCCTGGACACAGGGATTCCTTCCCAGTGAGGTGTGTTTGTTGAGCGCACATGAGATGGACTTTCTATAAAGCTAGTTGCAAGAAGGTGTTTGTTCTGAAAGAAAGCAGCAGCACCAAGGAAATCTATGCAAATCCTGCTGGCTTTTGGAGTCACTGGCCCAGATTGAACAAAACACCAGCAGGAGATGGATGTGGTCCAATCAAGTCAAGTCGAACTCTGTAGTCCAGGAAACAAGGGACTCTCACTTCAAGTTGGGGGGAACCGGCCAATGTGTGTCACGCCCGGGTGCCAGAGAGTTCTGTACAAAATAACGATAACAACAAATTAGCATAAATGCTTTAAAAGCTCCATGTGCCAATTCCCTTTACCAAGGGTTCGCCTTCTCTTTGCTTCCTGTCCACACACACACACACACACACACACCCCATCAAAAACTCATCTTTTTGCTTTAAGACCTAGCACTAGTTTCATGTTCTCCATGGTTTTACCCAGCCCACTCTCCACTCCCTATCAGACATTCTCTGAATTCTGCCCACCTCTGATCCCAGCTGCTGCACAGTCTCCCTGTGCTGGCACAACCCCACCTACAGCTCAGTTTTTCTGCCTCTGGACTTTCTCTGAAGACTTCAGAGTGAGCTTATCCCAAACACAGGGCTCAGCTCAGTGGTGAGCGAGAGCTGATGGCCCCTGCAGGCCGCCTCAAATGAGTTAGGATTGAGCAGTGGGCAAAAACCCCACCAGGCTCTCTTCAGGGGGACAACTCGGGAAAGCATCGGAACACTTCTCAGAGGTCTGGAGCATGCAAGGACTTCTGGGCCTCTAGGCTCCGGGGACTGGAGCTGAGCCCTCGGTATCACACCTTCATTTGCTTTTCCTTCTTGCTTGCCTCTCTCTCCCTGCCCTCATCCCTTCTTCCCCGGGGCCACCGCCCAAATAAATGACCTGCCCTGAATTGCCTATTTGAGGTTCTGCTTGGAGGGATCCAGACTAAGACAGAGCACAGTACTCTCAGCACAGGGGTGGAGAGAAAGAATGTAGCTTCTCAACAGCAAAGTAATAAAACACCAGCTCATTGCAAGGGTCGGGACAATGGGATGGGATTAACTGTCTGGGGGAAGCAAACGAGTCACTAAATTCTCTGAGCATCAACTTCTGTCACCCAAAAACTGAAGAGCTGGAATAAAAGAGCATTTCTGACACCCTTCCCATGCGGATTCCGTGACAACGGACATTGTGTTTCCCTTCTCTGCAGTGGCCTTAACCACTGATGGTGACAGAAATGCAGTGGCTTCTGTCTCATTATGCGCCTCACATCAGGCCAGCCTCAGTCTAAGACTCAGAAACTTTCCACAACAGACGCCTCAGACTTTCCAGGCACTCCTTGGACTTGACAGTGTGCTTTCCAACACTGATCAAAAAAAGCCCCATCCAATGGCCTTTTGAAACCACCCAAGTATTCTAAACATGTACACTCTTTACATGGAAGTATCTGGACTATTTCTCTTTCTTTCCCTTTCATGCCAGCCCAGATCGCTCTTCCTAATCTCAGTCCCAAATTCCCACACACCCTCCCGGAGTCTCACTCGGTAACTTAACACTTAACTGATATCCAGTAATTGCTCATCATATGACTTAACGAACTTTTCAGCAAAGAAAACTTACAATCACGCCAGTATTAGAAACATAAATTAGAAAGCTGTGTTGATACAATCATGGTTTATGATCTTTTCATTTGTTTTTAATAGTGTTTCTAAACATGGTTGTTTACTTTGAATATATAGTGCAGAACGTACAAATTCAGGTAAAGTGAAAACCCGGATTTTCATAGAAAACAGGAAAATTAGGTTTTGTTTTCCTTCGCTTTAAAATAAAAAAATTAAAATTCCTGAATTAAAGCGAAAAAACTTCTTCCCTACTCAAATTTCTACGTGGAACTGTACCTGGCGGTGTAGGTTTTTTAGCTGTGTTCACTGCTGCCATGAACATGTACTCACTATTCGGGTCATGCACACTGGACTGATACTTCTGAAAGAAAAAAATCAGAAACATGGGTTGTCACCTGCTCTTCCCCATCTTCATCCCTGCCTTTTGAAAGTCTGTGTAAAAGGCTTCTGACTTTATGCTAAGTAGGAGAACAATCAAAAAAAGACTTTAAATAAAAAAGAGCCTGCCAATCAACTTCCTTCCTCATTTTCACCATTTTGTTACTTCCCCAGCCGTTTTAGATCGTGGGCCCAATCTCCTCTCTCTTCTTTATCCCTCTTTTCAGTTTCCAACCTGGCACAGTACACACACTGTCTGGTCCATGACCTCACTGTGGATATACTGAATATAGCATCCTCACACAATATGCACAATGATACTGAGAACCTGTACTGGAAAAAGCTGAAAAGAATATCCCACGACACAGGGTGATTTTTGTTGTCCATGTTTTATAATTGTTGTTTAAGTTTTCATCTATTTGAAAGATAGTAGAGGAAGGGGTGCAGGGGGAGAGACAGAGTCAGTTTTCCATCTGCTGACTCACTCCCTGAATGGCTGTAACAGCTCCCACACATCCCTAAATGGGATGCAAGTGTCCCAAGAAGCTGCTTAGCCCACTGCACCGCAACACCCATCCCTGTGGCCAATGCTTTAACTTTCTAAACAACTTTTTAGTGATGCGATTTAAAAGCAAGACCTCTAGGCCAGCGCCGTGGCTCACTAGGCTAATCCTCCGCCTAGCGGCGCCGGCACACCGGGTTCTAGTCCCAGTCAGGGCGCCGGATTCTGTCCCAGTTGCCCCTCTTCCAGGCCAGCTCTCTGCTGTGGCCAGGGAGTGCAGTGGAGGATGGCCCAAGTGCTTGGGCCCTGCACCCCATGGGAGACCAGGAAAAGCACCTGGCTCCTGCCATCGGATCAGCGCGGTGCGCCGGCCACAGTGCGCCAGCCGCGGCGGCCATTGGAGGGTGAACCAAAGGCAAAAGGAAGACCTTTCTCTCTTTCTCTCTCACTGTCCACTCTGCCTGTCAAAAAAAAAAAGCACGACCTCTAAGAATTTTTCATGTAAAGAAGTTGGCCATTTCCTTCTCAGCTATCACTGAAGCTCATTAAGACTTTTTTCACTTACTAGTTGAGTGAAACTTTATTAATCAGTTGTTTTATCTTTTCCCTGACTCTCAGGAAGATGAACTCAAATTTGCAACCTGCACCTAATAATTTTTAAAAGTCAGAGTTAGGAAGCTGGTGCTGTGGCGTAGTAGGCTAAGCCTCTGCCTGCAGTGCCAGCATGCTATGTGGGCACTGGTTTGTGTCCCAGTTGCTCCTCTTCTGATCCTGCTCTCTGCTGTGACCTGGGAAAGCAGTGGAAGATGGCACAAGCCCTTGGGCCCCTGCACCCACATGGGAGACCCGGAGGAAACTCCTGGCTCCTGGCTTCTGATAGGCCCACCTCCGGCCATTGCAGCCATTTGGGGAATGAACCTGCAGGTGAAAGACCTCACTCTCTGTCTCTGCCACAGCCCCCGGAACTCTACCTCTCAAATAAATTTTAAAAAAATAATAAAAATAAATTAAAACAATTTAAAATCAGAGTTATTTTATGCATTGACCTTTCTCTTGACCTTTTGTCTTCCCTTGGCCCTAATAGGCTTTTTTAAAAAATAATAACAGTAATAATAATAATAATAGCCTCTTTGGAAGCAACAGAGTCTTTTTTGGAATAAAGTGGTCAACAAAATAAAGTAATAAATAGGCTTCTGTTCTGCGTTATTAGTTAGGTATAACTTGGAGAAAGTGAGTTGTCTACCTTTTGACCAAATTATAGTGAGAGCATTATGTTATTCTGATGAATAAATAACCATTGGCTTTCCTCAGTAACTCATATATATGACCAGATAGAAACTGCTCACCTTTTTTGTAAGCCAGAAAATAAATACACATCCAAAAATGTAGACTACTGCAAAAGCTGCGCATCCTATGGGTAACCAGAACTTCAGCTGGCAACAGAGCTGTGATTCTGTGTTGGAAAACAGCTATGTTAATACAAACTCTGCGAATCGAATCCCCCCCGTCAGAGCTGAATCACTAGTTCTTTTACCAAATTGAAAGGAGCCACTGAATCAAATCAAGCTTCTCTTCATTAAGATTACAAAATCCAGGAAATTGTAACTAACAGCATCTCAGTAGTACAGAAAAGATTCAGAAACTAAAATCAAAAGACTATGCACATACACGTTTACAAATGTGCTTAATACAAACGGCTTTTCTGCTTGTATTTTCACAAAAAGAATAAACAGGAAAAGAATGGTATAAACTATGACTTTCAATCATCTTACTTAATCCCCAAAGCCCTGCACAAAACCAAACCTTAAACCTTAGGAGAATAGAGATAATAGGCATTAAGCCTTGAGTTAGGGTATTTTTCTTAATTTTTTTCCTAATTCCTAATGGTATATGTACTTTAAAGGTAATAAGACCTTTTTCTAACTTAGTAGCCTTTGTAATTAAATGGCACATTACTGATTAACACTAATTGTCATTATTAATGATAAATTTTATATTTTCATCAAAAATGTTTCCAATCAACTACATGTAAATGAATTTTGGCATGAAACATATATATTTGTTTTAATTGTTTTCATTAGTGAGAAATGTTGTCAAAATGTGAATGTACTCTTAAGCCAGAGAGATGAAAGCAACGTCTTACCATAAATATGCAAATATTCTCCTCTAAGAATCTCTACTTGAAAAGGAGGAGGATCAAAAGTTGATAGTTTGCAGAAGTAATAGCTGGCATGAGAACTGTCCAAATTATACAGAAAAAAAGAGACGCTGTTGTTGAATAATTGATATTGACAGAATTTCAGAGCCTTAATGGACACTGTGTTTCCACTTTCCTTTGTCTGCCTGAGGTCACAGAGGACTTGTTCCCCTTTCAGTAGCTGCATTTTGAATTGCTGGACAATCTCGGGGTATTTGCATACAATTTGAACACCTCCATTGTGAAATGTAAACATCTCATACTTGGCAGAGTCATTGATTTCTCCTGGATAAAAAGAAGGAAAACAAAGCAAGGGTGACATTTTATAAATATATTGCCCTAATAATGATATTTAAACATAGAAGTAATCTCTTCTCTTCATTAAGTCACCTCCACTGTACTCAAATGAAAGAATTTCCATCCAAACAAAGAACACAGCAAAAAGTAAAACTGTCCTAGAAAAAAAAAAAAAAAACTAACCAGAAGCTTGCCTGTCATACATGAATATATAATTAGTAACACATTAAGTAACATTTACATCGTATGCACCAACTAGTATGGTGTTTGCCCTTTGCATATTATAGACTAATAATAAGCTAATAAATTTGGGCTAGGAATGGGGTAAAATTCTAATAAAGGTGGTACAGTGAGGATGGTTGCAATTTTGATCAGATCAGGAAAATCTCACTTTGAAGATACTACTTTTAAACTTGAAATTTAAACATGAGTAGCACTCAGCCAAACAAGGAGAGATTTTGGAAACAAAACTCAACACGAAGGGTCATATATAAATGTGTATTTCAATGATACCCTATTGTAAGGCAGCAAAAAAATGGAAATCATTTTTAAATGATAGAAATATGTCTTTTCTGAACCTCATCCACTGAGACTTGAACCAAAGGCTCATGATAAAAGTAAGGCCTTAGATTTATGTTTACTTTTTCACCTGTTGAGATATATTTTAAGCTTATAGGAATACAATATTGCTTTTCTGAGGTATATGTGGATGACAGAAGGAAAAAACTGAAATTGCTTTGGCTTGGTTGCAGATTTTGAACTATTAACCTAGAAATGCAAATTGCTCTGGGGCCAGCATTGTGGTATAGCAGGTTAAACAGCTGCCTGCGAAACCAGGATCCCCTGTGGGTGCCAGTTCAAGCTCCAGCTGCTCCACTTCTGATCCAGCACCCTACTAATGTGCCTGAGAAAGCAGCAGCAGATGGCCCAAGTGCTTGGGACCCAGACAAAGGTCCTGCAGCTATCTGGGGAGGAAACCAATATATGGAATTTCTCTCTCTCTCTCTCTCTCTCTCTCTCCCCCTATCTCTGTCTTTCTCTCTCTCTGTATAATGCCATCTTTAAAATAAATAAAAATATATCTTAAAAAATCAAATTGCTCTTGCTTTTCTGTTTGTTTGTTTTTTTTTTTTCCTTTTTGCTTATTGTGATAAAGTTGTATACTGGAACTGGGAGGAAATATTAGTATGATGGTTTCTTGTCTAAGTTTAAAAATATCTGTGTTTATTCCAGAGAGAGAGAGAGAGAGATTTATTTGTTTATTTGAAAGGCAGAGTTACAGGGTTGGGGGGAGAAACAGAGCGTGCTCTTCCATCCATCTGTTGGTTCACTCCCCAGATGGCCGCAATGGCCAGGGCTGGCCCAGGCCAAAGCCAGGAGGCAGGAATGTTATCCAGGTCTCCCATGTGGGTTCAGGGGCCCAAGGACTTGGGCTATCTTCTGCTTTCCCAGGTGCATTAACAGGGAGCTGGATCAGAAGTAGAGCAGCTGGGACTCGGAACCAGCACCCATATGGGATGCTGGCATGACAGGAAACAGCTTTACCCACTATGCCACAACACTGGTTCCTTGCCTTTATTCTTGTGAAGGCTAGAGGTTAATAAACTATGCAAAACATTTTTAAGGAAACACAAGTAGCTAGTGGTCCTCTGAAATGGAAGTACTATTTGTATATTTTTGCTCCTTATGTTCTAGATCACATTTATATACTAACAAATTATGTGGTATTCTGCTATTATCATTTAATATTATATCATAAGCAATTATTTACAAAGGCATAATAATTAACCTTGAAGACTATGTAACAGACCACAATGCTAATCTATCATAATTTAAAACTAATTCACTAACATTGAATATTAGGGTTATTGTCAGCATTTTACTTTTGTGTAAATATTATGACATCTGGCCAAAATGTGTAAACACTGTTGTAACAAAATGTATCAGTACATTGCTTTCTTAAGGAGCTGCTCCAATTTATAGTAGGATGAGCATTAAGCAGGAGGATCCATTTGCTGCAACTCTGCTTGAATTAGTTGTGTTAATTTAAGATTCACCACAATTACTTATTTTTTAAAAATCTCTTTAGTTTATAGCTAAATTTAGTTTATGGTTCTCATATTACTAGAAAACAGATTTTTAAATTGGAAACATGCTTGCAAAACTGAGCATAAATGTTCTAGTTTTCAGCGATGACAGTCTAGATGATTCAAAATAATTCAAACAAGCAAAACAGCTAAGAGAATTACACAGTGGATACAAAGAGAAGGAATTTCCAGGTGAAATTTGAAGACAAAACCAGAACCCAGAGACACAGCTTGGAGCTGCTTTTGCTCTATGAGCATATGTTGCTCCCCTGAATTCAATCTTTTTTTATGCCTTATCTTATTTGCAAAGTGAGAAATCTAGAAGACTATCTCAGAGTTAAATTCCTAGAGAACAAGTAACCCAGAAGTAAATCAGCCATCAAGGACATTAGAGCCTACCTTCAAATCACTCCAATTGTCCAGAAAAATCTCAATCCTTGAACCTTAAAGTGATCTCAGACTATTATCACACTTAGGCTTTTGAATGTAAACTCTTCCAAGGAGAAAACATTTATATCCCAAGTCTCAAATCATGTCTATAAATATTTATGTTATAATGCCATGTAGCAATACTACAATGACAAGCACACCATAAAAAATACTAAGACACAATGAAAAAAGGTCAGCAACAAAAAAACACCCTATAGAAACGAATCAAGGAACAATTTTCACATATGTATTATCAGATCCCCAAAATAAAAAGCTGTGCTTATTATGTTTAAAGAAATAAAAGATAGGGTTGGCACTATGGCATAGCAGGTAAAGCCACCGTCTGTAGCACCAGCATCCTACACGGGCGCTGGTTTGTGTCCCAACTGCTCCACTTCCAATACAGCTCTTAGCTAATGTCCCTGGGAAGGTAGTGGAGGATGGCCCAAGTGTTTGGGCCCCTGCACCTATGTGGGAGACCTGGGGGAGGCTCCTGGCTCCTGGCTTTGGGCTGGTCCAGCACTGACCATTTTGGCCATCTGAGTGAATCAGCAGATGGAAGATAGATAGATAGATAGATAGATATCCCTGTAACTCTCTCTCTCTCTCTTTCTCTTTCTCTCTGTCTCTCTCTCTGCCTTTGCCTGTCTTTCTCTGTAACTCTGGCTTTCAAAAAAATAAATCTTAATAAAGAAAAAAGAAACAAAAGACAATCTTGTAATAATATCTGCAAAGCACAGAAAAAATTAAGTCTTCACTAATTTGAATAGGAACCAACTAAAACTGGCAAAAAAATCATGCACTAACAAATTAAAAATTCAGTGTATAGGTTTAATAACACATTAGCACTAAAGAGAAAGCTGATGAACTGGAAGGTCGGGTATATAAGGTATATAAGGTATCAAGGATCCAGCCATAATCCACAGACTCAAGCTCAACAAATCACAAGTGTGATTAAAAAAAAAACAAAAACCCAGGCCAATTTAGTAAAAATCCTAAAAGCAGCCAGAGGAAAAAAAGAGTTCACTTTCAAAAAAGCACCTACTAGACTGACAAATGATGCTGCAACATAAACAATAAAAGCCATGATACAGTGAAATTATATGTCTTCATTGTGTGTCAACCTACAACATATTGTCTAAGAGGATAGTAAAGCAAAGTGGGTCTGTTGTGATTTCTTGAAAAATCACTAAAATATTACAAATAGAACATATAACCAAATGAATATCACAAAAGTCAATATAATATTTCATCTGAAGAGAAAGTTTGATTCAGGAAGGCAAACACAGGGGTGGAAAGGTTTCAGTGTGCTGACAATGTTGTATTTCTTGACCCACAGTGATTGCAGGAGTGAGGTAGTATGCTTTAATCATATTCAGTAAATTGAACATTTATGTTTTATTCATTTTTCTGTAGAGATGGTTCACTTTATAATGAAACTGCTTTTAAGCATACAGAAAGAAAATAATGCTTGTTTCATTTTTTTAAAATAATACAAAAGGCAAAAGGGAAGAGCGCTGACAGCATGAGAACAGGTGCAGTCTGCATTAGCTTGCATTGGGGACTTATTTGAGAGTGAACTATGTTGCACTACTGTTGTTTTGGTGCTTAAATCTTCTACTATCCGCTGTAGCAGATAAAATCAGTGGACTGGTTCTCAGTTCCTTTAGAAATGTTCAGAGCAAATTTCCCAGAGACTTTAGAATGGTAACAAGTAAACCACAAAGAGATATTGGGGCAGAGGTATCTGTGGCTAGTATGTACACGCACAGGCACAGGTATGTTGACTTCCATTTCCCAAAACTATTTTGTCAGCAGCTTTTTTCCTCTTTTGCATTCACTCTACAATCTTTAACCCAACACAAAACGAAATATGACGGTTGGGCAGTGCAGTGTGGTAGAAAAGAAACACAGTGTTTCCAAAGGAAAGCAGAAGCAAATCCTGGCTCTACCACTGGAAAGGTTCTGTGACTACAGTACCCCTCTGGACTTCAGTCTCCTCACCTGTGAAATATAAGACTGAAACAAAAGCATATGAAAGTTCTTGCCTGCATTTACTTGCTATGAATGCAGTACCCAAACATATTCAGGTCAATCTACAAACTGCAAACAATGACAATACTTTGCTGTTGGATGATTATTCCTTGTCAGGGAGGTCATGTTCCCATAATCCTCCCATGGCTCCAGTATAGTAATGGCTATTCCAAAAACTCAGGAGATATTAGAATGAATGAGACTGTTTTTCTTGCCCACAAGAGTATCTAGGTAGGGCAAGGAGGGCTGTGCCTCAGTTTATCTTGAATGACAATGTCGAAGGTGTTATGCCATTGATATCAACTGGGGATCCTAACACGTTATTCTTATCAGACACAATTAACTATTCATATGTTCAATTTTTGAAATATTTTAGTTATTTATTTTAAATCGGAGTTACAGAGAAAGGAGAAACAGAGAAAGAAAAAAGAGATCTTC